CATTTAGCTCGCAACTAGAACCTGTTCCCATCGGCAACCTGACCAGTCAGTCTATTGCACAAGTTTTTCCTCCTCCCATCGATTAGGTCGATTTCGCATTGGGAATGTACATGTGGGAGCACTTCAGTGAATCTCTACCGTATCTGAGGAAATTTCCTCCACAGCAGAATGGGCGAGGTAAAACTGATTTCCGTTTGATTCGCCCCTTTCATGCAGAAATCATTCGAGCCGTCTTCCTTTCAATTCGTTCATAGCCAACACGTTGCGTCCCCCAACAAAAAGCAGCTCTATTCAGTTTCATGCCTCTCACACCGTTCTTTCTATACCATTAATTGTGTTGAATGGCCATTGCGAATGGCGCATTTTCCGTAGAACGTTCCAGACGTCATAAAGAATTCTCCAACAACAACCACATTCAGCGTCAAGTATGTGGGCTACCAGTAACACTACAGATCGATGAGCCTTGTGAAAAGCTTTGCGGTCGCCTTGACCATTTTACTCTATCGCACTGATCAAACTAGCCCATGAGCTCTCAGAAAGGTCAGAGACGCAGAATCTGCTACAGAAATCCCCTTCTCTATGCTCGAACCAAATTCACGAATGTTGCATCAATCGTGAAACATCACAAAAACCGTGCATTAATGTTCCGGCACGTTTGACGCCACAACCGATCGCAAACTGCGCCCGGCAGGATTTGATGAAGGACATTTGCGCCCACTAACTCGCATTACCGTAACGCGCGCAACGACCCACCGCAACTAGAAGTGGCTATTGCGACGGATAAGTATGACAAGCAGATGGAAACGATGGATATTGATCGAAATGCTCAAAAGTAGCCTCTTTGGATCCGGTTGCCCAAATTGACAACACGATGGATAAGGGCAAATCCGACCAAAACTAAGGAATGAACGCAATAGTGGTAAGAGACATGCCATGCCAAATACGGTCATTGATTACCCATTTTGCACCGTTCTGGCACTTTTAACGAAAGCTTAGCCAAATTGACTGCTAGAACCCACAATCGACTAATATGACAAACGCCAGGGAAAACAAAAATTGTTCACATCCACGCCAAGATCCTTGCCCTTCAAGGCTTAGTCCCAAGTACTGTATGCAAGTACACATTTAAATCCCCCACTTTACGACGAATCCAAGAAATTTCTAGTAAAATTCTGCTGGTATACACGGAAGAAGTTTATTCTAGAGCGCTATCGCAAGATACGGGGACACCCTTTGAGAAAGCGTAAATGACATGCTCATGCACCCATGCGCCTCGTCCTCACTAGGTTTAGTCCTATTGATAACAACAAGAGATCTTTGACGGCGTTTCAAATGCACTATCGCCGCAACGCCCCCTCATATTGCGATAGCGCCGATTATGGTACAGAAGTAGCGCCAGAAATAACTCAATAAACGTACAATGGCGGCTGTCGCTCATTCCCTAGAGCCCCTGATTCACAACGCTCAAGCTCATGAAGCTTTCGTATGTGCCCCTCCTAAACTTCAGCTCACGACTCGCCGAAGAACGCAAAGCAATTGTCGCCCCTTTGAATTGAGTCAGACCCACCAGTTCTGTCAGTCAGGCTTACAAAGCACTTTTAATGCAACCAAATTGCAACTTATTTTGAGCTTACGAGTTACGCTTCGATTACAGTTCCCTCCGTCAAGGGCAACATTTGAAACATCTACAAAAGGAACTACACGGCCTTCAAATCTGCGCCATAAACCTTACGATACTGACAAAGTCGGCATTGAATTTAATTTTGCACTCACATCGGGTTCGACATCGTCGATCGCGACCTCATTCCGCTCCGATTCCGTCATGTTGTGCTCGAACATCGCATGGAAAACACGCGATCGCGCCGCCAGGATCGCCTTATGTACCTGAAACCGCCAAATTTTCAAAATTACATTCAGAAGGGTATCCCACACATTGAGATAATCATGGGTACGGGGCGACACTCTTACTCCGACGCTGTTGCAAGATACGGGCCTAAGATTAAGCCTTGGGATGCCCCTCCCATCTTGCAATCGCCCTATCGCCCCTGGTTATACTGCCTCACCTTAGTGTACACTTCAATTGTGATCAATTTTACGCGTGTGAAATCAACATCCACAACCGCGCGTTGGCTGGAGAGGCAGTGTAATGATACATATACTTTACTTTTTGAAGCCGCCCAGGGTGATAAATACTCATATGCAACCCTCGCCAGATAGCTAAGGCAGCGTTCATAGTCCACGATCGTATATGCGATCGTACGAGGATTCAAAAAGTATATGTATCGATTAAGCGAGTAGGCGATTAGGCGATCGCTCGGCGGGCGGAGCAAACCAATCGATATGTATGCAGTCTCACTCGCCTTATCGCCTACTCGACTACTCGCCTGATCGATACCATATCCTTTTCCTGATGGAATAATCGTCTAATCGCAAACTATAGACGCTGCCTGAAGTTTCTTCTCAAAATTGTCCCTTTGGAAATCAAAAGAGGAGGGGGCTCACGTCGTTAGGTGGGGACTTTCGGGTATGTGAGCCAGCTACAGTGCTTGGGTCTAACATAAGCCTGAGGGGTAGAGACTTGGGAGAAGATAGGAGCAATTATGTTCTCCCTGGTGTTTTCCACTCTGCTAGGTTTGCTCCCAGTGTCACTTCATCGCGATTTTCAAAGGATCCCGTTTCGAATGTCCTCCCAAGGCTATGAGGCTCTAAAAGGGTGATTTCAACGCTGAAGCAATACAAGTTGCATGAGTATCGATTTTACGCGCGTGAAATCGAGATCCTACTCCGTATGTTGCGCTAAAGGGCGGTAGAAAACGCGAACTTGCCGAGGATCACGCAAAACTCACATGGAACGTTTGGGGCCCATTCGATTTACAGGTCGCCACCAACGTACAATCACTGAACTGTTTGCTCTCGAAAAGAGCCGAAAGATCTTCAGACAACCGACAGGGAGGAACCTAAAGCAAAAAGATTAATTTCACTCCTTTCCAACGGTATTCAACTTCAAAACCATACCTTAAATTGTTGAGCACTTGTTTGTCCAGTGACGTTGACTGTCTCAGCAACCACCGACACCTGAACATGGTGATAATAACAACCCGTACTTCAGGCAAATCCACTGCAATTCTTTCACATCAAGCACCTGTTGGTGTTCACGACGAGGCGTGAAATGATACCGTTTATACTTGTTTCGTTTCTTGGTAGGTGCTCGGGACAAACGTAGCGAAGTGTTGATCGGATAATAGCTGCTTCCGTTCCGATAGAAACGAGCCGGAGGTGGAGGAGCGATCGCAGTGGCGGTTGCAGCGGCTGCATTGGTGGGGACGAGTATAGCCGGAAGATGAGTGACGCCGACAAAATGTGGACAGGCCAACGGCCACGGCGGCACATGATACCAACAGTGTTGAAAGCCGGACCATAGGACGGCGCACGGCCGCACGACCCCCAAGCAATCATCGAAGAATCGAGCTAACAACGAATGAAGAACACCACCGCTTCGGGTGGTCTTTTATAGCAACATCGATCTGATAAAAAATTATCGTGATCTATACATGACTTATCCAGATCGAACTTGTAAATTCACACGTGGCCATTTTTTCCTCTGAGGCTTCTCGACAAAATTTGAACCATTACAAATTCTAGGTCATTACCCTTTCACGGGTTGACACCAGGGTGAATAACGGTCGTGAAAATCCCCGACCATGGCTCTGCACTGTGTGATAGTGTGAGAGTGAATGTCACGACGTGGAGAGCACAGACCGCCGGGGTCGCGCCTGTCTGAGAGTGCAATTTCGGCGCAGGAGAACGAGACTGATCAGGCAAAAAACCCTGCGCGAGCCGGTTGACAATTTCGCACGCTGTCCCAGATTGACGCAGTCAGAAGCTCCTCTTCGTTTTCCGTTTTTCGAAAAATATCAAAGAAGTAGAGATTCGAAAGTGGCTGCCTTCCTACTGAAACTTTTCGTCAATATTCGAACAATTACAAACTCAATGCCGTCAGCCTCACGTGTGGGAAACAGACACGGAAGAGAGGCTACCCTTTCCGTGCTCCGGTTCCCAAAAAGGATTTGAAGAACCCAATTTTCAAGATGTGGCTTACTTTTTTCTTGAGGCTTCGAGTAAAGATCTTAATGATCAGAAACCCGCAACCAACGCTCTCAAGCGACTGACCTGCGGAGACTCTCCTTCCGCCTTTCCGATGAATGAAAAGAGTAAAAACCCAAAGGGGTTGAGACAGTCATGCAATTAAGAAAGCACACGCTCAAGCGCACTGCGCAGCTCATCTATTTTCCTCTCTGCCCTTGTGCGCCTCTCCAATTCTTCTTCGAGTTGAAATTGCTGTCCCCAAAATTGTTTTCAATCCTACTAGCAATTTTCTGAGACTTTTCGGAATATCTCAGCCTTCATATCGCTAAGTATTCGAATACCTCCGAAGAATTCCTTCTTTGTCATTCGCAAATTACAAGAAGTGGAAAATTTATTTGAGTTGACCTCCCTGTTACGACCTTTTCAAGGTTCCTTTGGAAAGGCTGAGATTTTTCAATGTTTTGGAGGACGTAGTTTACAGTCAGGTGATTTTGGCGGTCAGACTGCGTGCTCGGCTAAGTAACCTCGGGACAAGGCCAAATAAATCACCTTGGGTTTTGTTACAGCTCTGACGAACGAATTACAACATGGTTCAGCATACGAGATGTCATGATGGACCCACGAAGTCACCTCCGCCCACCAATTGGCAGAGCCTTCATTCTTAGCCGACGCACCAAAAAAAGCGCAAGTACAGAAGGTTAGAATTCTCCGATGAATGATGGAACAGTATAATCGGCGCTTTAGTACTCGATCAAAGATTTGAATTCTTCCATTTGAGAGAAGGTTGAAGAAGCCAAACTCGAAACTCTGACTCCACACATTCAAGCGCCGATCCACCCAAGCATCAAAACATCCAATTTCAATCACACTTCCGCTTCCGAATATTGGCAGGTGTGACAGGGGCTGAGGTTTTTTTTTTTTAATGAGACAATCTTTCAACAATCACCTACTTATCATCGTACTTTGTTTCTCAAATTTGTCCAACTCTAGACAAGGAATCCTTGAGTGCTATTTGATGTATTTAGAGATGAAACTTAGCTCTCGGGGTGGGAGGGGTTAAACAAACTCACTTCACAAAATATACTCAGTCGATCATCTGGCAACAGGCCGTTGGACTCATCAAGCAGGAAATCCCTCCGAATGAACTTCTTGAATCCCCAGTCTTTGCCTTGCACGAATCGATATGCTCGTTGAGATTCTGAAAAAGGCTTTCCAGAAAATTACCCTTTCAATTTGATCCATTAAAAGGGCCCTGTGAATTTTGGGGTTAAATATAAGTGAATGGTATATAATAACGGTTGAAATCTGGAGCTAATCTGCGATTGCAAACCTTCGAGTGAAAATGCTAACACCTCTCTATACTTGAAAGCGAAGAGGTGTCATGGCAGGAGGCGCTGCTTATCTTGCATGGAGCCGAATAAGGAATCAAATATGCCCAGGAAGGGGTCAGGGGAACAGTACCGGCTCGACTAAGAGGATGAAAATGCTGATTTGCACATGGCTAACCCGTAAATCATTTATAACAACTGAATGGCGCTCAAACGCCGCTACTACTCTGTAAGGAAGCACAGCACGGGATGCACCCTGAAGAAGGACCGATCAACACTGCTTGCTTTATAGCATACATTAACACTAATTGTTATATGAAGAAAAAAAACTAACTGCGATTTGCGTGGAATTGGATATTTCAATGCTTCGAAGCTATGACCTCCCAATTTAGGGTGAGTATCATCGGGAAGCCCACACCGAAACAACTGCTCAACGCTGATACGTTTATCCCTCGCTTAGAATGACCGCAAGCGGAGAGCTCCATGGCCATGGGACCTTCGCTCGACAAGGACAACTATTGGCCTTGCTCCAATTATAGATAAAGATCGGGCGATCTGTATAAAACCTTGTCAGCCTTGTCATTTGAAAGTAATCGAATCGAAGGACATGTGGAAATCGTCTCACGCATTTCTGCTACTCGGGTACAACATTAAGAAGTACAAGTGAAATTCTATTGGAAAAAATCTCGCCGTAAGCGTAGCGAGCTGAAGAGCAGTGGGAACTCTTCATCAAATGGATCCTCAAAAAGTAAGTGTCTTGCTGAAATCAACGGAGCGTTTACAGACCCCAATCCATTCCAGAGAGAAGGTTCCTACAGCAACCCCGACATTCCAATTGTTGTGCCCCAGGAGTTCGCTAACGATGAGCAGATCACAAAGCCAATTCGATTCTGAATGGGAGTCTAACGCATGGCTCAACCCCCCCCCACAAAAAAAAAAGAGGATTCCCGGACAAGGGTTTCTTATCAGTCTTGATAAAAGAGGATTTACATTCCACGCTTGTTCCCCCTTTCTGCGGCCACAGTTTTTTTTTTACAGAATCGGCCATTGGGTCGTAGGAGCTTTCAAAACAAATTGAACCAATTCCACTCCACCCTTCCTATCAACTTCCTAACATTCTATGATTCCTCTTTCGCATTTCCTGAACAGAATTCCCCATCTCCAATGTGCGGGGCCCGAACACTGTACAATCTAAAGCATGAAGGCGTTTGCGCTTTATTAGCCTCTTTTGGGATGATGATCCCGGAATCCGCTCGGCGTGGTAAGACGGTGCGCAATTGCCCAGTAACACAGCCGCTGGAATGAGGTATGGAGTAGATACATACGATCTCTATGAAATGTGCGGAATCCTAGAAATGTTTACTAAATTTCTCCGAAAATGCTTCAATGAAGCCCCTTCATGCTAACAGCCATAACCCTACCCCTCCTCGCCTCACTTACCAGAACAAGTTTGTTTGAGTGTGACCTCAGCGTTGCGGCGTTGCCACGTTATAAAACTTGATTCTGAGACATGGAAAATTAACTCAGGTTGCCCCCCCCACCGACTTACTTGCCAGTTCAACAACAAAAGCTGTGAATAAGATTGGTGGTATTTCTGCATGGGATACCACTCAAAAGAAAAGACGTTTTTAGAAAACATAAGAATGAAGAAACGAGAAAAGAACCATAGATCCCACTAAAATAAATAGCATGTTTTTCTTCCCCATCCCAGGCGGGAGAGCATAGCAGCACAGCGTTTGGCCACTGAAAGTTTAAAGTATTTCTACAGCACCCCACTGTACGAGTCCGGTCTCGGTTTTTCATGCCCATTTTTCTCTTTACGAGCTCGCCACATCACCGATCCATGTATTTGTCAAGGATAATTACATCTTCGAAATATTTCAGTGAAATTTGCAAATTGAAGAAAACTCACCCATGGCCTTGGTTTCCTCTCGTTTTGCGTTCAGTATAGAGAATTTGAATTTGGCACGCACTTCACTCTTTGCACATTGTACGAGTAAGAGATAAAGCGAGAGATAGTCTCTTGATTCCTCGTCTAATCCTTTTGGATTTATCCGCAAACACCATTTCAGCTTGTCGCTTGCACCAGCGGAAAACGTCGACGACTTGAGCACCTGAAGAGTAAGACGATGAAAATAAGATTTGAAAAAACAAAAAGCGTATATGAATGAGCTTCTCAAGTGATGACTAAGAGAGCCTGCAGTGTTTACTTCGCGCAAATTCCAGGGAGTTCAAATAATATGCGACCGCCTCGAGCCGACTATATTATGCTTATATTCGAGTTCTCGCTTTACATCCACTCCATTTTTTTCACCTTGAGAAGCACCCGAACGTACACTGTTTCCCGCGACGAAACATGCCGTAATTACACACACAGTGACAGAAAACGCGGCGACGGCCCGGAAAAATCGATAGCGCAAGAACTTCTCGACGCAATGACGCCAGCTAACGCCATTGTGACACTAAGCCTGCAGATACGCAGAAGCAGTCTTTTTCATCACTTCAACTATCTACATAAAGTTATATATGAAGTAAATATTTATGAAAAGAGTCTCGTCCATCTAACATTGGCCGAGAGGTCCCTGCCCCAAATTCTCTCCGATTTTCCAATCGGACAAGAGTCAGCTGAAAAATATGCAAAAATGAATAGATATGCTTTACAAACAAGGCTCCACAATTTAAAAAAAATCACCAAAAAAATCGAAAATTTGCTCGCATAGGCCATTTAGCCATGCCGTCGGGGGGATGAAACGTAAACGTAGTTTTTTGAGTCTCATTTTTATTACGGGGACTACGAATTCCAAAAAAAAAACACCGTTTTCTGCGTGCCTTAACGTGACAGAATAATGGATATCTTGTGAAAGCTGGACTTTTGGTAAGAAAATGGTTTCAAGGGAGAAATTGTAGATGTTATTTTGGGGTGAAATCAGAGCCGTTTTTATATTTCATGTGAAGTACTCCGGCATAGTGCATTGGAGGGCGAGGTAGGGTAATCCATCGGCGGCGCGGGGCGCTCAACACTTTCGGAATCACGACAATTCCATTGTAGCACGCTGATGACCGCGTGGTACGACATTGTGCCACACCCTTTCGGCGCGTGGCACGTATGTCATGATGTCGTGTCACAAGCGGCGGCCCATCTCAGACAAGCAAATCGAGCAACGCTGGTTAATATATGTTCTTAATTTTGTGCAGGGTCCGACAAAATGATTTATCATTCTGGAGCGTGGTTGCTCCTGGCCGAGAAATTGGAGTTAGAGATGCTGAGAAGAATTACCTGCGCCGCGATACCACTACCCCCCCCCCCAGTACACGCGGCCCACTTATCTGAAATTCAAATACAGTGGCTACTTGTACCGCAGTGTCAACAATTCCTAAAGCGTGGAAAATAGAATATATGTATCCGAACCAATTCTCTCATCCAGTCACCTCCTCCGCGCTTGTACGAAACGCGAAATCTTCTCGAGGCGTTACTGGTTGGCAAATCGATATGAGCGAGAAAATGTGTGTCGTTCGTTCGTGCACAACAGATTGAATGAACCAGGACTCACCTCTCCCATTTCTTCTCGACAAAACGAAAAATTGTTAATCGTCCACATGTAGTTGAATTTGACGACTTTCACCTGGAAACAATAACCATTCAAAAAGTCCTCAACTCTCTTTCTCAACGCGTTTATACTCAGCGTTTGAGCAGATCAATGAGTCTCCTAAAGAAAATATAGGTTTACGTTAGGAAGAACGAAGAAACGGAGAACCCGCAAAAACAGTAGCTTGTGCTCCGTTCAGCTTAGCTGTCTTCTAGCTTATGCTCATCTTACAACATTCCGTAGCATTCGATATGTATCTAACATCTTCCGCGGATTCTTTAATTCTACCAAAATTCTTACTGCGAATGCAGTCCTAGCCCAGACGCAAAGTTTACGCACTGTTTTCTTTTTCCTTCACCTAGCCAACTGGATGAGAAGCAGCAAGTCACCGTGCGACGTCGCGCCCGAACGCGTACAAAGTTGTATACTTGATCAGTGTCGAATGTTCGGTGTTCCAATTGAAGTAGGCGCGACGCGAGACGTCCGCGGCGTTGATGGCTTGCTGAACTCTCGATTGCTATGGTCGACGTTTTGATGCCGATTGCGGTTTCTAACAATGCAGACCTCATTATGTTCTTCCTGCATGCCCATAGAATGTCGCATACTTTTGGAGTATTTAAGCAGCAAATAAAAAGCAAGCGAATGGAGCCCGTCTTTCCTATGCCACGCATTTCATTTCCACGCTGCACCACTTTGATAGCGGATGGCAATATTAAAAATGCTGCAAAAACGGGGGGTCAAATTTCCCAGACACACAAAGGGCTCGCGGACAGCATAGCTGCTCTAATTCCCTGTCACTTGTCCCACTTCCCCATAAACTTGGCCTTGTCCCAGTTTCTTTTGGGGCAATTTTTGGTTCCGTGACCGAATAGACACGAACGAGGCAAGAAAAACCATTACTATCAGTAATAAGGTAAATATTACGTTGCGAAAAAACCTGGGCAATTCACTAGCTGATAAACAAGGTGAGCGGGCGCAAGCGCACCATTGCAATGCGAATGCCGCTTGGGCAGCACTTCCCAACAAAATACGTCCACCTGGTAGAATGGGGGGGGGGGGGGGGAGAAGAAGGGATGCAAGCTGTCATAATTGCAGAGCTACTAGCACAGGTAGCATCATGCGGCATCACGAGCATCAAAAAGCGCGTGGAATCGATTTTTTGACGCCAAGCGCGACGGGTGCCATACAGTCTGTTACTGCGACCGCAGAAAGTTGAGTAAACTTAATCATATATTTTCAAATGTATCCGCCTTTCCAGCAAAATGCTTTCCAAAAAAGAACAGCGCATCCAATAAACTTGTTGGAAAATGAGTCCCAAGATCATGTCAACACTTCAAATAACCCCGATGGCGCTTGCAATCGAAAAAGTGAACGCAAACGCGTAAAATCAATAACCATCTTTTGAAACGCCTGCTGAAGGGACATAGGAAAATAGTGAACTGCGAAAGCAATCTTAGTAGGACGAACCTGAGTATGGCACCAGTTCTCGGCAACTGGCATAAGTGGATCGGGATGTCCATGTGAAGGTGAGGGTAGAGGGCTGTGCGGACGTGTGGCCTGAGGCTGCGAGGTGGCTGGTAGACCTTGTCCTGGACCACCGCTCACTGACTCGTCTTGAGCCGATCCGTCATCGACCATCGTCGCCACTGTCGTCTCTTTCAGTTGTGGGACACGATCCGTTCCAGAACCAAATGTCGATTTTGGTTTGTCGTCGACAGTAACTGAAACAAATAGTGTGAAAATTCGATCAGGAAAAACTAGAGGGACAAGAAAGCCCAAATGTCGGTCTCAGTGCTACACATGCCGCTAGAAGGGTAAAATCATGATGTTGTCCAAGAGAAGGGAGAGAGCCTCAGACCGGGGAAAGATCAATTGATGATGATAGGATTGATTGTGATAACAAAATAGGGTCAAAAGTGCTGGAAGTGTAAGGACCATACAAGGTCGGATTTGAGGCCGAATGTGAGCTAACGTAATGAATTAACCCTGGTTTACGCAGCGTGATTACCCTACCCTACCCACAAAAGATAGAGAGAAGCCGCATTTCATGAGGCACTTCGGAGAAAATAATCCTGCTTACCAATCCCGGGGTTCCTCTTTCGTGCAGATTATTCTCGAGAGAGAAGGAACCCGGCTCAGTGCTCAAAGTTTAGTGAGAAATGTCAAAAACCAGCGTGTCCCCCTACTCGATTCACATGGCACCGATATCTGGTTACGTAACCGCAAAATGTCAACATTCACTCTGCCAAAATAAAAAATAATAATAAAGCATGCTGTCGAAGAAAGTGAAAAGCAAAAACAGATTAAATATCAGTCGAAAGATGTAGTATTTAGAACGTAAGTGCACAAAATATTTTAAGGGCGCGACGGCCGCATTCCTCTTACAGTGCGTGATGACTATTTTCGTGTTTTTCCTTTGTTAGCAAAAATGAGCAAGTATCTCCAGAAAAATTTATCGTAGTTTGTACCAAAATTGCCGTGCCGCACTCATCAAAATAGCGCATCGTTTTCCAGAGAACAAACTTCAACTTATTGTTAAATTAGGTGCTAACTTAGTTGGGGGGGGGGCCACGCGGCGGCGCGGCAGTCTGCTCACCTGGGCTCTCTCTAACGAGACAGTGTAAACTCGAACATTCCAGCTTTTCACGCATGTCAAGTGACTGCCCCCACCCCCCACCCCCCTAGACTGGCTACACTCCCCCTGGCCCACGGATTTCCGAAGATGCCAGGCGAGCAGACTGCCGCGCCGCCGCGTGGCCCCCCCCCCCCCAACTAGCTTCCCCCCCACAACTAAGTTAGCCACGCCATTGTTTTAGAGAGAAGGGAAGAGGTGAGCAACGGGAGCAGAGCCATGAAGAAGAATAGCAGAAAGTGATATGCTTTAAGAGGTTACTGGGAATTATAGAAAGTAAGGAAAAGGTGGCAAGAAGGTCCTCTCTAAAAAACCAGACCTCACAGTTGATCTACCGAGTCGGGAACGGGGCGACAAGGCGGTCGGTGCGGCCACATCTGGCCGACAAGCGCCACTCTGTCGCCGTACCCACGAATGAGATGAACATAAACTTTGATCAATTTCAATTCACGTTCAAGAATAGGCCATGTGAAAGTCACGATCTCTCGTCAAACTTTGCTTGACGATCGATTCAGGCGCATTCATCCATGAAACTCTTCTCTTGACGGATTCTCTCAATAGAAGTTTCACCAGAAAAGTACGAAACAAGGAGGATCTGGGATGAAATGCTCGTGCGCCACGCAACCGACTTCTGTTTAAAATCGTAATAAAACAATGCTCCCATTCTCTCGATCATTTGCCAATGCAAAAGGCTTGAACAATTGTTTCACATTATAATAATATATGGACGAATGTGAAAGCAACTAGATACGGTATTTCTGCCGCGCCCGTTGTGCCTAACTTTGCTGGCAGTGGCCCGGTTACCCGATGAACTCTGACTTTTTCGAAACCCCACTTTTCTGTACCACCAAATTCGCTCTTAAAATGAAAGCATCATCGATGGCACAGGTCTAATTGACCCAGGTTCAGAGGATCCCAGACTATATATCGGTGAGTGTCGCCATATGTCACTACGCTACCACCGCTATCCGAATCATTATTAGATTGATTCCAAAACTCGATTCCTAAAACTTTCAAAATTCCTTGAGTAGGGGACCATTCCAATCAGAAAAGAAGGAAGGCTCAGAGTCATGAAAAATTGTACTCCCTTCCAGTTCCACATGTTCCACAGGTAAAAACATTAAGGCATTGAGCTAATGGGCTGTACAAACCCCATGCCATCGCCTTCGAACAAATCCCCTTCGAAGACTCAAAATCAGTTTCGATAATAGATATTGTAGCCGGCAAGGTTATGTGGATGCCCGTGACATTCAGCGCGTTATGGCCTTGGCTAAGGATCTCGACCAGGGCCATAGCCCGACTGTGGCCTTGCATCCAGTCAACAATTGGCAACTATCACATGGCTGCTAACAATACCAGATTGAGCATCAGTTTATGCACGCCTGCTACGGTTTTGTGGATTAACCCGTCCTAGCTCTGTCCGTGGACACAATTAGGCAAAATAAACCATGGTTGCCGCCCCTTACTCATAGACCTTCAGTTTCTTCCACACACGCCCTCCCAAAGGCAAGCACGTCAACTTCGGTAACTTGATACGGCACTCGCTGGTTTCCTATTACCGCCACCCTTTCCAGCGCTCACTCCACCTCCACAGATTATTCGAATAACTAACTAACTAGCAGCCTGCATTTACTGAGTCAGTCAATACCAGGCAGAAGCTTTTCTGCTGGATCAATTACTTGACAAAAAAACTGGCACCTTGCCATGGAAGCGGGCATGATCAGCGATTTATTTCTGTATATCTATGGGGAATGGGCTAAAATTTAAATCAGAAAAGCGCCGGCGTGCTCAGGCGAGGGGGGCACTGCGGAGAGCAACACACCGATTGCCCGTCCGGGTACCCTAAGGACTAAGCTGAACTTAAGGACTAGAGAGAAGGGAAGGCGGGGAAGAGGGCAAATTGATCAACTTTTTATATTCCCCGGAAGTTATCTCTCCCATGATTCAGCACGCAGGGAGTAGACGATCACCACCCCCCCTTCTTCCTCTCCTTCTAACGAAAAGCACACTAGCGCTGCGAAAACATCAACAATTCTGAAGAGAACCATAAACAAATCCTACAACCAGACACGAGCCAATTCAGGGCCAAATGCCCACCCAGCTTGTTCGAAGCTTGCACTGGTCACACTTGACCAGAATTAGAGCACAAAAAAAAGAAGAACACGATCAGGAGAGGACCATATTGACCGATCCCCTGGCTTGTGGCTAGGTAGGTAACCGCCGGCGGAGTAACCAGAATGACAATCTTTAGCAATCAATTACAGCACTTGGCACTACAGTACGTCATTCTGCATCTGTAATACGGAAAGCATGTTATCAGAGTTGGAGAGCGAACGGAGGGAAGAAAGATCGGTGGAAACTTCGCGACCTATTAGTATTTTTCAATTGGAACAGGAATTGCAAAGAAACGCCAGCGGGACAAACAAGGTGACCGTGCCTGATTTTCCACAACGGTGTGAGGGCAAGAGCAGCAATTTCAACGAAGGAGTAATCACGCGAACCCAGAGTTAGCGGCAGATTCGAGAAACGCTGACTCCTCGCACAGGACAAATATTTACATATAGTGGATTAGATCATGAAAAAAGACAGCTCTTTCTTCGATTAATTTAATCCAGACAGCACGAGGCCGACAACGTTCTGCTGACTGGGGGTTAACGGACCCCTCCAAAAGTTGACCAGGCAACGATTGAATGAAGCAAAGGATGGAGGTGAAACAGAGGAGCAAGGGCGGCGTCAAGGTGTATTACCCATCCGTTTGCGCGTGATTCACGGCGACTCTTCTAGAAAATTCTTATAATATGCAACGTGTTAAAGGGACAGCAGAGCGAGGACAACTGTTTTCATAATGACTAATGGATGAGAAAAACGCCCAAGTCAGCCTGGTCATTCAATTTGCATGTTCCTTTCGTAGTGTAGATAACCATCACGACCTAGCCAGTTTATACGAGCCTAAGTCAACAAACAAAGTCGCTACTGGTAATGGCGATTTTAATTGGACACAGACTGGTTGAAAACCAGGGAAACAAGAATCATCAGCCCTCCCTGTAGGCCTGCTGTTTGAACTCCCCCCCCCCCCCCCGTCTTTCGCTACACGAACGCGTCTAATTCTGTCCCGAACGGCGCGCCATTGCAATACACACACTTGTTCGCCACAGTACGACTCGGAGCACTGAAAGCGTTTTTCCCGAATGGAATGTGGATATGACTCAGCTGGGCAAACGTTCGACATCTAGTCATCTTCCAGACGCTCGTAATAAATCAGGAAAAACGGAGAGAAGGGAAAAAAGAGGAAATGACATCGGTAGCCACCAGGAAAACAAGCCGTATTAGGCTACGCGAAGTGAAAAGCAGGAGATGACAGTTGTGTACAGTGGAAGGAAACGAATACACATACACGACAGTACAGGACATACATCAACACGAAACAAACTAGTACTCTCTCAACCAGTTTGTCCAGTCGAATACAGATAATTAAGAGACGGCGACGATGAATGCACGAAAGCAAAAGCAGCTCGCCCCGTGCTACATTGACGGTTGACTGATCATCATCGACCGAAGGCAGTAGTCGTGGTGACAGTGACAAGCAGCCTTTGGCAGGGGAAGGGCTACTGACTTTGTTAAAGAGGTGAGAACAGCATCTCTCGCATGATGCTGACACGGTTACAGAAACAGCAAGTACTGAACCGTGGACCCTGCCAAGTAACCCACGTCGAGTATTACTCCCACGCTAGAGAAAAGAGGTTGCATTTTGTTCTTAGAAAGGGGATGGGACGAATTTGGTGGTATCGGTAGTGGATGGAATAGGAGGCAGAAGACTGTCAGAGTTGAGAAGTGTTAAAGATATCCCGTTTATTTCACAAAATTGACGAGGATTTTATACAACCTCCCTCCTTCCCTTACCCCAGGATAGAGGTTAGGACTGCTCGCGAACTCTGTCAGGAATGGGTCAGAAGGGACACCGACTGAAGGGTACGAGGGGACAGAAGAGGGGGGAGGCCAACTGGTTGACAAATTCCCTGAATTCCTCGACAAAGGCTCACCCTGTTCTACTCCACCCATTTGTTTGAGAAATGACCAGCGCTCTATATC